ATGTTCTCTGGCAATTAAAAAAATGTTTTGACTGAGATATAAATAATGTACGATAAAACATCATTTAAAAGTGTACAGAACAGTGCAAGAATCACTTCTAATTCCAGAATATTTTCATCCCAGAAAGAAGTCCCATACCTGGGGCCAGTAGATGGCATAGTGATTATGTCACTGGACTACCACATGGTTGACCGCAGTTTGAGTGCCTGATCTGGTGGCTTGAAAATCATGTGTGCTTCTGTGCCCAAATCACAGGAGGAGAAAAGAAGAGAAGGGCTTGTGGTGTGGACATCCCCCCCGGGGGGTGATTTCTCACTTTCCCTCTCACTGTCTTCTGCCTGTCTCTCTCTGGCAAGCACATGTACCCTAAGGTAAAATTATCTTTAAAAAAATAGGACAGCAGGTAACATAATCTCTTTAAAAAAATAGGACAGCAGGTAACATAGTGGTTAAGGCTCTGAACTGGCACATGGCCAAATGCAGTTTGAGTCCTAGATCTGGCAGCTTGAAACTCACACCAGGTGTGTGTGTGTGTGTGTGTGTGTGTGTGTGTGTGCCCAAAATCCCAAGAGGAGAATGGAGGAGAAGGGCTTGCAGCATGGCCATCCTCCCCTGTGGGGTGATGTCTCACTTTCCATCTCTGTCTCTCTCTGTCTCTCCAACCAGCACATGTACCCTATAGCAAAAATCTCTCTCTAAAAAAAAAAAAAAAAGGAAAAGAAAAGAAATCCCATACCCATTAGTGATGCTTCATTTTCCCTACCCCCAGGCCTTAGCAACCACTAGTCTATTTTCTGTCTCTTAAGGATTTGCCTCCTCTGAAAATTCCTTATAAATTAAATGAACTCCTTTTTTAAAAATGCACAATCAGTGGTTTTTCCCACATTTACAGAGTTATTATACAATATGTAGCCTTTGTGTCTGCTTTCATTCAGCTAGCATATTTTCAGGGTGCATCCACATTGCAGCAGAATCCAGTACTTGTTCCTTTTTATAGCTTAATAGCATTCCATCGTGTGTCTATTTCATGTTTTGTTGTGCATTCATCAGTTGATGGCCATTTGGGTATTCTCACTATTGTCAGTAACACTGTTATGAACATTTGTAGACATGTGTCCAGCTCTCTTGAGCATATGTAGGAGTGGACTTTCTCATTCATTTAGAATTTCTGTTAACATTTTGAGGATTTGCGAAGCTATTTTCCAAAGTAGCTGAAACATTTTACATTCTAACCTGTTCTGTATGAGGATTCTAATTTTTTCACATCCTTAAAAAGACTACTTATTGTGTTTTTTGTTTTTGTTTTTGTTTTTAATTCTACCCATTGTAGTGGGTCTGAAGTAGTATTTCATTGTTTTTGTTCTTAAGTTTTTGCTGTAAGCATGTGTGCTCACCAGAGACAGAAAGAGAAAGTAAAATTGAGAAATTACCCCCCAGGGATGATGGCCCCACAATCCCTTTTCCTCCAGTCACTTCAGGATTTGGGGCACACATTCACATGCATTTGGTGTGATTTTCAAGCTGCCAAGTCTGGGACCTGAACTGCAGTCAATCAACCATTTGGGAGTCCAGCTCCTTAACCACCAAGCCACCTCCTCTTAGTATTTTGAACCTACACCATACATATGTGCCCAGTGTGATTCTCAAGCTCTCAGATCTGGTACTCAAATTGCCCAGTTAACCATGTGGGATCCAGCCACTTTCTTTACACCACCTATTGGCCCTTTCATTTTTTTAAAAAGTGATTACAGTGAACATTTATTTGAAGTAATACATCTGCAGAACAAAATCATTTTAAGATTGTATGTTTCAGGTTTGACTAACTTCATAAAAATAATTTAGGGACAACCATATGCACAATTTCAATTACATTGTTTCTTTGCCCACTCTTCTCTCTCTTTCTTTTGTAAATAACCTCTTTCAGATGTGATTCAAGGTAGAAATTATCTTCCTTGTCCATTGCTCATTAGGCAAGATCTACTGCCTCATGGTCAGGTCCAGGGCTCTTTTAACATAAAGCTTCCTGTCATTATAAAGGTTCTCAGGAAGTCTCCCTATGACTTCTTTCACATCTTCATTATACATCCACACTGTATCATCTTTCGTTAACCCCAGTTTATTGAATCCTGTAGCATTATAATACCATTTTCAAATGCCATCCAGCTACCAAGCTGATGCTGCAATGGCAGGCCTGCTTGCCATTGTAACTAGCCCTCTCTACTTTTAAATTTTGTTGTTGTTGTTGAGTTGTAAGAGTTCTTTATATTTTATGGATACCACTTCCTTACCTGATACACAGCTTTCAAATATTTTTCTCTCACTCTGTGGGTTGTCTTTTTACTAGCTTAATGGGGTTTGGACCACAAAAATATTTCATGTTTATTAAGTCCAATTTATTATTCTTTTATTTTTAGGGTTTTGGTAGCATGTCTAAGAAATCATTGCCTAATCCAAGGTCATAAAGACTTACTCCTTGAAACAGCAGACGGAATAATGGTTAGGTCAGTCACTGGACTCCCACGTAGTTGACCATGGTTCAAGTCCAGGACCTGGCAGCTTAAAACTCACACTGGGTACATGTGCATGTGTTCCTCAGATCCCTAGAGGATAATGGAGAGGAGGGGATTGCAGCATGCCCTAGGAGACCCTGGGGGGTGATTTCTCGCTTTCTGTCTCTGGTGAGTGCATATGCCTTATAGCAAAAATCTCTCTTAAAACTCTTGAGTTTTCATCTAATCCTTTTACAGTTTTAGCTTTTAGATTTAGATCTATGATCCACTTGAGTTAATTTTTGTATATGGTGTGAGGTTAAGGGTCTAATTTTATATGTTTGCATATAGATATTCACTTATATTAGTACCATTTGTTGAAAAGATTGTTCTTTCATTCTTTGAATTGTTCTGGCCCCTTTGTCAAAGATTACTCAACCATAAATGTAAGTAAGAGTTTATTTCTGGCCTTTCAACGAATTAGTATGTCTGTTCTTATGCTATCACATTGCCTTGATTCCTGTAGCCTTATAGTAAGGTTTGAAATCAGAAAGTGAGTTCACCAATTATTCCCTTATTTTCAAAATTCTTTTGGTTATTCTGAGTCTCATTCATTTCCCTGTGAATTTTAGGATCAGCTTGTCAATTTATGTAAAAAAATTAAAATAAAGTAAATAAAAATTAAAAAGGCATCTAAGATTTTGTTAATAATTGCATTCAGTATGCACATCACTTTGGGGACTACTGCCATCTTAGTAATACTGAGTCTTCTGATTTATGGATATGGATGTCTTACTGTTTACTTAATTTTTTGTTATTGTAAAATCAAAGTGCTACTTTATTAAATGAATTATTTCACAATATTAACATCAATATAATTACAATTGTAAAAAATATTACAACAGTGATTGGCTGATCTTCAGATTTCTCAATCATCAACTGTATATTTACACAGAGTTGTCTTCGCATGAAGCCCAAAAGGGAATAGCATAAACATGAGTGTTTCTGTAGCCCCTTTAGTTTTGCTGATCAACAATTTCTTAGAAAAGCAACTACAGGGGCTGGCAAACTACGTGACTAGAGGAAGATACAGTCACTGGTTTAAAAAAAAAAAAAAGGGAGAGAAGACTCCAACGTGCAACACCCGTGACCGTTAGAGTCAGGTTCTGGGTCTGCAGAAACGGGCACGATCGACAGCTAGGACGTCAATCGTAGGGACATCAGCTTGTGCCTTGGAAATCCTGGAGGTGGAAGTGCTTCGTGCCAGTCAAGGTGTGCACCACTGTAGGCAGCTGATGGGCCGCATGGCCTAGCGGAGAAGAGAGGCATGCTGGGACTACCACGAGTGATGTGGAGCTGCGGAAGTGCCCCCTGCAGAGAAGCTGCCGGCTGCACATGAGGCATCCGGAGTCTGCTCAGCTCCTGCTTACCTTGAGGGACTGTTAGTCTCCAGGAAGGCCATTCTGGTGGATTCCAGAATAGGACCCTCCCAGGACTGATGGGAGCACGGCACTGGGGGCCTGTCCTTAATGGAGACACCTCAGGTAGCAAGTGGGGATGGGAGAGACGGGGCTGACAGGCTAAGCAAGATGGCATTCAAGGTGAGACTTCAGCCCAAGGCAGACTAAAGAACGCAGCAGATGGCCACTCTGCAATCCCTTCTCCTCCACTCTTCTCCCACACACATGCACACAGCATGATTTTCAAGCCCCCAGGTCTGTAACTTGATAAAGGGGGATTTTCATCGTATGAGTTGGGCCTCAGACCAGATGGCCTCCCAGGATGTCTCCTCTGACATTTCCTCAGACCCAGGTTAACATGGCCGACCTTGTCGGTCGGTGTCCTCCCATATCGGCACCCTGGCCTCCTGGCCAGCTGCAATCAAGCTGTTGCCTACAGCTGCCACCCTTCGGTTCTGTCCGGAGGGAAGCCTGTGTCGGAGAAGCCCTGGGGGAACTTCCTGCGGTGTCTTCAGTGCAGTGTGGGGCTCTTACTAAGCTGTGAACGGTTACCGGTAGGGGCCCTCCACTTGCCATCTTATTTCTAGAATGTATCTCTCTACTTGGCCAATGCTAGACATTAAGAGTTTGATCATGAGACCAGCAGATGGCAAAATGGCTACGTCACTGGACTCCCACGTAGTGGACTGTGATTTGAGTCCTGACCCAGTAGCTTGATACTCACACCAGGCACGTGTGTGTGTGTGTGTGTGTGTGTGTGTGCGTGCGTGTGCCCAAAACCC